AAAGAAATGGCTCACCGATACTCTCGATCGATTTCGAGTTGAAGGAAAAGGTAGACTGATTTTCACGGTTTGTTTAAAAAAGTCAAGAGAGGTGGCAGTATCTCTCTCTCTCTCTCTCTCTCTCTCCCTCTTAAAGCTGAGCATCATTCTTTTCCGGCTGGCAAACCGACGGCCGTCAAAGTCCAATTTGTTACGAACGTTGCACGAGTTGTTGTTGTGCTAGTTGTTACAAGAATCGTTGCGAAAGCTGTCACGCGAGACTGTTTAGCTCACTGTTCTTTTCCACAGAGTGACAGAAGGCCAATAGCTCAAATTGGAGTTGAACATAGAATCCAAGGAAGAGATTCTCATTCGTTCTTTAATGATAAGCATTATGAAATATCAAATAGCGAAATGTCTCTAAAGTGTGTTAGTCATGTGTCGAACCAACAAAAACCGCAAATACCGAAATGAGTTAACGTCGAGGTAAGATTGTTATTGTTTTACTTTATCGATGTCTTTGATAGCTTTTTATTTCATCTTTTCATAAGAGGAATAAAAGAAAAAATAATAAAGAAAGTTTAAAATATGAATAAAGGTGATTCTCTTGAAATGATCGAAAGTCATGTCTCTTTTCGAAGCTGGGTATCGAACGATCGACATGTCCGTTAATCAGATTGAAACGGGCGAAACGTATGAGGAAAAAGTAGGAAGGGTGGGTAGGAGATGGGTAGGGGATGGGAAGGGAAAGAGCATCGAAAGACGAGAATAAGTGCCGCGTAACCGCGCAGCGATTTGTCCGGATCAGCGTCAGACTAAGCAGATTACGGGCTCTCCCCAAATGAAGCATCAACCCCGAGGACTACCTTGTGGCGATCGAGGAGTAGCCACGGATCTCGAAACTCCATTGGGAGGTCCATCGGCATTTCTTCTTTTCTCCCTTTTTCTTTTTATACGTGACTATTTCTTTCTGTATAGGTGAGTCAAGGAAACGCCCTCTTCGATTCACCGATTCGAAAGATACTTTGGTAGCTTCTTTTCGAGGGATTAATATCTTACCATGTAAATATATGTAGTACTACGATCTCTTTCGTCGCATTTTTTTTTTCTTCTTCTTCTTCTTCTTCTTCTTCTTCTTCTTCTTACAAAGTGAGAATTATTTTCTCTCTTCCGATATTGATTTATGGACAAAAATCTTCATCCCTTCTACAACCCTCCCTCCTTTAGTGGTTTATAAATTTTTAATAAATTTTTAAGTATAGGAGAGAGTTTGTGTGTTCCCAGGATACACGAGGTCTGTTTCTTTAACGTAGAATTTATATCCTGCGTGACTCTTTCTCTTGTTATCAAAGAAAAACGTTAGAGATGAATTTTCTCGACAAATAGTTAACGAAACATGTTGCTGTTCAGGCGTTAAGAGTGGCGATCTTTTTTTTTCTCTCTCTCTCTCTTTCTTTCTTTCGTGTACAACGTCGTATATATTGGTGGTCTGCTGATAGGAGAAAGGTAGAAAAAGATAAAATATATTAAATATCAAAGTCGTATCTCAGAGTATAGAGAGGAGGCGCCGTCGTAAAGCATTCGACGCTTTTCGATATGGCGAAAGCTTAACACAGGTACAAGTCACGTCGTTTTACTCGGCATCGAACGCTTATAACTCTTCTAGCGAAAAAAGAGGGTCGGTAGTGCGAATGGTACGCGTACCTACACGTTCCTATATTTATACGCGTATATGAATATATTATTTTATCGATCGAAACTTGTAGACATGTGTAGCTATAGCTAGGTAGGTGTATCGATACTCTCGCTATCGATAAAAGTGGTAGCGTCGACGCATTCGCGATAGGTACCTATGTCGTAGGTATATAATATGTATATATAGACCGCGTCTAGATAAACGCTTCATTATTCCGCGTGTTCTATCGCTACAGATGTAAGGGACGATTTATATTCATGACCTATATCTAGAGCAAAGAGGAACAAGAGGGAAGACGTGCCACGGATAAAGGTGTCGTTTCATATTTTTTCTACGTTAGTAATATATAGACTACGAGCTCTCGTAGATGATTTTTTTTTGAGAGAACATTCGTTAGTTTTCTTCAAGGAGTAATGGGAAATAACGAAGAAGAGAGAGAGAGAGAGAGAGAGAGAGAGAAAGAAGGTAGCCGCATAAACGCACATAAACGCACATAAATGCTTCAGTTATCTCTTGATGTAGCACGTGCCCCTTTTCTAATGCTTCTCTAAAATGCCTGCTCTGCTTTCGGTTGCGTTTGATAGAATCAAAGAGACCGACAGCCGAGACCGCTTCCGCTCGTTTCGGCTCTTCCTCTCGTTACTTTTTCTTTGTTTAGCGAAATAAAGCTGGTCTGGTTCCTAGAAATTTACTACCGCGGATCCTGCTACGTTCCTGTCTACCGAAAACCACTTCAAAAGGAGCGCCCTTATTCAGTAACTTTGTAATATTTGATTATATCATTCTTTTATCTGCCGGTAGGTACGTTCGATAAATGAAGAAAAATCATGCTAAATCGTACGGGTAGCTAAATCGTTAGGTTTCGTTAGACGAGCAGGAAAGTAAACTGACGTGAGCGCAATTAAGAATCCAAGATCGGATCTAATAGTAGCGCGTTGTTAATTAGAGTTTCTCGCATAGACGATGTTAACGGCTTGTCAATTAGAAGCATTAACGAGCTAGATAAGCGGCGATTATACGCAACGAGCATTTTTTTCTTGATAATTCTATAAGCCAGACGAGAAGCCAATGCAACAGCGAGCGAGAAGATTCACACTCGGGGGGTAACGATCGTGCTAAGAAAGTATTATATACATGTCTTGCTTTGATTTCATTGCGCAAGATGCGCATCATTATTCTCACGATAGTTGGTAGAATCGAGTAAATTCTAAATTATCGCGAAAGGTTTAAACGGTCATGGGAGAATTTTCGCGACAAGTCGAGGAAAAGATGGAAGAAAAAAAAGAGACCGATAAGAGAAATTGTTTGCGGATTATGTTGTGCGCGTAAACGATCGCATTTACCTCCTGGTAAGGGTAATAGCATAACGCTCTCATCGAATTGATTTGCGCAAGCTCGTCTAATTTTCAATAATAGCTCGCGTCGCTTTGAAATACCTCCGAAGTATGTAATTACGATAATTCGCTGATGATATCATTCACGATCGTCGACAACACACATGTACCTAGCAGCGTATTTATCGCGCGAGGTAATTTCCAGCTATACGATCATTATAATATCCGGGGCAATCAGCTTCTTTCTCGGGCTCGGTTCGATCGTTCGCGCACGTAAGTACTTTGACGTCGACTTCCTATTCGATTTCTCCCTTCAACTCCCCTCTCTGGCTCCTTTCTCGATTGCTATACAATCCTTTTTTTTTTCTTTTTCTTTTTCTTAAAAGCATCCGTCTTCTTTTCTTTCCTTCTACGTGAATCCTGGTGTATAGAAAAAACGGAAATAACCTTAAATCCCGACCACCTATTGCCCTTATTATCGACTGGCAAGAAACGCGTATTAATTAGATTCGACGATCGAACTTAAAGAAGGAAATTTCGATTTAGCGGAGAAAAAGTGTTCGTTAAGAAATACGAAGACCAAATTTACTGCAAGGAAGAGACAACATTTCAATAATAGGGATTCTTGCGGGCGATCGTTGGGTAAAACAATGTCTAGCGAAAACAGAAGGGTAAAATGGCAACGACGGGAACTCGAGCCAGAATCAATCCATCTTTTTCAATGACATATGTAGTTGGACAACCTTGTTTTCTGTTAAATTTTTGAAGACGTTTCGAAAGCCGAAATATACTTTTCTAGATATATGGAAATTAGGAGTATACATTCGCACGTTGAGTCACTTAGTAGAATGTCGAATGGAAAAGATAGGTTCAATTAAGATTGAGAAGGAACAATAAGAGGGTTGGTAGAATAAAAATAGGGAAAGGCTGAAAATTGGAAATGCGAGCACGGACTCGATAGAATGAACGGAGTAAAAAGGGGGATAGAGGGAGAGAGTAATAAGAGATCCGGATGTAATCGTCGAGGAGCAGGCAGGGTATCCTCGCACGTAGACGCTGACGGCTTGAAGCAACGTCGCTTCTGCTTCTCTGGAAGCCGCGTCTCCCCACCCACCCATCTGGGCACCGGTGGGTGCTGCCGAGGGCAGCGAGTGCGAGCCAGCCATAGCCAGCCAGAAGCGAGCAAGCCACCCACCCATCGCTGTTAGCCGCTCGCTCGTGTTTAAAGCTCCGCCAGTAAAACAATAAATTGCTCTCCGCTCGAGTGCTCGGGGGACTCCAACCTCTCCCTCTTTCTCCAGCGGTAGGAGAGAAGAGGTGGAGAAGGAAAGCGGTCCCTGTCAGCAATTGCCCCCTCTCGTAAGAAAAAATGGCAACTGCTGTGAGTTGGATGGCGCGTACGAGACCATAATATCGTACTACCCTGCTGCCGACGAGGACTACGCTGACGACGAGAACGACGCCGACGCCGATGCCGATGCCGACGCCGACGCCGACGCCGACGCTGACGACGACGACGACGACGACGACGACGACGACGATGACGACCAGGAAGAAGGTGGCAAAAGGGTGAGGGGAAAAAGACTGAGGGGAGACACAACGTGGAATCGAAAAGAGGATTACTCGGTAAGGGGACCGCCTCTTCCCGTTATATCTCGTAGCGGACAGACGACAGAGAAAAGCGCGTGATAACGCTCATGCTTGGGAGCCCTGGTGCGTTTTGGCTAGAGTAGGCGGCTCCCGGTGTAATGCGGGCGTGGCCACGCAAAGTAACGCGGTCCCCGCCTACTTTGAAGCAGCCTTGTCGACGCGAGTAATCGCCTTCCTTTTCTCTCCTTTCTTCTTCTCTTTCCTCTCGCGTCCTCGAAACCGCCACCGCCACCGCCACCAACACTGCTGCCGCCACCGCCGCCGCCAACTCGCGAGGGTGGGGACCGAAAGCAAGAAGCGAGCGACGGTGGCGAGGGTCAGTCTGTCGAGTAACCGGTCGCTCTAGCGTTTCTCGCTTTCCGTTCCTTCTGCCACCGTAAACTTCTTCCTCTTACTGTTATTCTTATTCTAATTATTGTTATTCTTCTTCTTGTTATTATTCGTCGTTTCTATAACGTTCACCTAAAATTTGCTTTATATGGATTTTTTTCGAGTTCCATTCCTATTTTCCCAAAACAGTGTACGTGTTTTGAAGAAACGTCAAATAACAACGTGTTGACTGCTCTCTCGCGAGATTTATTTATAAGGAAGGAAAGAGATAAAGAGAGAGAGAGAGAGAGGTGAGGTGGTCTACGATCGGTAACGACACTACACACGTCTACTACGATTGAGAAACGTTGGCCGTTCCTAGAGTGTCAAAGATCGTTTTATGCAAGATCGCGAGAGCATTGTTTCGTTTTCTTCAAACTTGGATGCGTCTGTCGATTGACATTGCTTTCGGAGACGCGGCATGTTCGAAAGCATTCAAGAGATTTCGCAGAAATCGTTTTCATTGTTCGAAGACGATGTCAACGACATCAGGCGGGGGGGAGTTCTATGAGGATTCGAGAAAGAATCAAAGAGAAAAGTGAGATCCTTCGAAAAGCCAAGAAGGAGGCAAACGCGAGGACAAGTAGGTACTCGTCGAGGTGATGTTGCTGGAGTCGCGAAGTTTTGACGGCAGGAAGAGAAACGGACTGACACTGACTTCATTCGTGGGTGGAGACGGCGGTCGGAGCGGAGGAGGAGGTGGAGCTGAAGGAGGAGGAGGTAGAGGAGGAGGAGGTGGCGGCGGTAGCGAGGAGGACGACGAGGAGTCGAGGGATCATCGCGTCTTTCTCGGTAGGAAAATGCAGGGCGAGAGCGCCGCCGCCTCCGCGGTACCAACCGGAATTTCCGGCATTTCCGGATGTACAAGGGATGACACCGATGACAGCTCCAGTACCTCACCCAATGCCAGTCTCCTAAACAACATCAACAATAACTGCAACTCTAATCGACAATGCGCTACAGACTTCAGCATCGCGGCCATCATGGCCAGAGATTCGAGGCAACAGCAACAACAACAGCAGCAGCAGCAACAGCAGCAACAACAACAACAACAGCAACAGCAACAATCTCAATCTCAATCTCAATCGCATTCTCAGCAACAAACTCAACAGCAGCAACATCATCATCATCATCATCATCATCATCATCATCATCGACATTCACAGCAGCAGGCCGTCGGCGGCGGCAAGCTTCATCAACACGGTGAGTTTGAGTTGGTACCGGGTTACTTTGGCAACCTAGAGCTTCTTGTTAAACGACTTTACGATGCTCGTCGAATGTAACACAAGCAATCACGTGCGTGTGTATTCGTGCGTGGCTTATATGTAACAACAACTCTTTTAATAATAATTATAATAATAATAACGTTAATAATATTAACGTTGGGTCCGAGATTAGAAATACGTTGCAACGCATTTTTTTTATACAAATTTATTGATTACATTTTATCCAATTTTACTAATAAATCTGTCCGTCTGTTATCCTTTATCGAAAGATTAAATATCACGTTGTCCAGATCGTGTGTCTTTTCCCAAACCATCGCGATAACTTTATGGACGAAACAACGAAATAAATAATGACGGAATGATAATTAATTGTTTTTCTTTTTAATAGGTAGTAATTGCGATTCGTATCATGCGAATAAAATAATTCGTTTGCCGGTCTCGAATGAAATTGTTAGCAGCATCGAATATGCACTCGATTTATATGCCACACACAACCAAAGGATGAATATTTATTCAAGTAAATAGTTCTCCTAAGAATATCTTCGATTTGATCGACTTGGCAACATGTAGTAAGCGTCTTTTAAAATAATCACTTAAATCCTTCATCGTTGAGATAAACAACGACGCGTGACGAGCTATTGTCGATTTTTTGCAGATTTTTTGCTGATAGATGGGATAATGAAACGTCGCTTTGGTCGAGTAAGGAAGACATCTGAAAAGACAGGCGATTTTTTCCGATAACGTTCGAGGGTTCTTTGGACGCGAAAAAAAGAAAACGAAATTATTTAAAATGAACATTTATGATTCGAAAACAAAACAAAACAAAAAATAATAATAGGAGGGCGATTGTTTGTCCTCTACGATCGGCCGAATTTTCTCACGGAACGTAAATCGTCGCGAAACGGCCGCTGGGTGAATAAGTTAACGCGGTACGGGTGCTTCGATGAAATATCTCATTGGAAAGAAAAGAGAGAGAGAGAGAGAGAGAGAGAGAGAGAGAAACGGGGTGAGAGAGAGGGAGAGAAATGGAGAGAGGGCGCGAACGAGAAAAGGCGAGAACGAGCGAAAGCCACGCTCGTATACGATCTGCCCAGGTGAGGTGTCTCATCGGAATTCTGGAAATGACCGTTGCGTCTCTCTCTCTCTCTCTCTTTCTCTCTTTCTCTATGGGTCCGGCCAGACGTCCTCCGGAGAAGAGCGAGAGCGAGAGCACTAGATGTAGCAGGGGAAAGGGGAAAGAGAAAGAGAGAGAGAGAGAGGTCCCAATGGTGTTTGGTTTCATCATCGCGTATCTTGGACGCCCGCGGCGAATAATCGCCCACGAAGATCCTACTGCGACGAAATTTACGGTTGGACACGCTGCAATTCACCCACAGAAACGTTAGTGTCGTTCCCAAATAAATTTAGGTTAAACGGCGATGCGAGGACGAGTCGAGAGAGAAGCGAGAAATCGAGAGTGCGTGTGCTTATCTCTTTCTCTCTTTCTCGCAGTTTTGTGTCAATGTATATGCATATAATATTTGTATGTTTAAGCGGATCTAATAGTAGCTACATAAGCATAGACTACTGCGACGATCGAAGAGGATAACTTTTTCGCAGGGTCGAGTTTTCTTCTTTCTCTTTCTCTATCTCTTTCTCTTTTTCTCTCTCTTTGTCACTTTCGAATCGTATCAAGCGACAGCACAACACCTGCACAATACTATAGAAATTCTTCGAGGATAACGTTCTTGGAATAGAATAGAATAGAATAGAATAGTCGAGTTTATCGGGAAAGCCGTTCCATAATATTCTCCTTCGTGACGTAAAATTTTTCTGCTTGCAACGAAGCAGAAGAAACGGGCGATCGAATAAATTTGCGAATCTGTAGTAGACGATTCTCGAGTAGCCACACTTTGTGTAGCTGTTTCTTTCTTTCGAATGTATTCTGTAGAAGAATAAAAAAGAATGAAAAAGCAAAAAACCAAAAAAAAAATTAAAGAAATAAAAAGAAGAAATTAAGGAGGATCACAAATAAAATTATATAAAACACCATCGACGTTTGGGGGTTTCTTTGTCATTGGTGAATTTTCTCGAATTTTATGCTCGATATTATTCCAACACTGCCGTTTGTTGTCTGAACACACTGAAATAAATCGTAAAGTCATGTAACATGCATACGTACGTACTTAGGTATATACCTACGTACGCGCCTATCGTAAAATCGCGAAAGAGGGAAGAAGAGTTCTTCGAGGATCGATCTTTGTCCCAGCTAGTTTGTTTTCACGCCTCGAATGGCGGTCTTGCGATGCCATGGTACACGTCCAGAAACTCTCAGGAGAATTTATTTTTACTATCGAATATTTACGTAGAAACAAAACGTGTTTCTGAAATGTAAAAACGATCTTGCCTTACGTTATCTTTGTTTAAAACGAAAGAACAATCTCCTTTTTCTTTACTATACTTTCAAATGTGTCCCAATAAAAAACTAAGTATTCATCTTCGGGTAATTAATTAAAGGAAATAAAAAGGCAACATCTATTACAATCGTTTTTCTATTATGTACAGTTTCGCATTTTGAAGAAATGATTTGTTCATTACGTACGTATTGGCAGCGCGCGTTGCAAACTCGTAGGTATCGTTGAAACTGTTCGTTCGTATTCGATGTTGTAAGGCAAGGCGGCAAAGCATCAATTATCCTAAGTACCTATTTCGAATAGATAGCAAAGCATACATATGCGGTACTGGTGCGGGAAGCGATAATTTTCAGTGTAAATGATTTTAAGATTCTTTCCTTCGAAGCGTTCGATCTCTATGACAAAGAATAGGAATCGTCGAAACGCTTTCGGTTGTTTTATAAATTTCTTATAGGATAATTGATGTAGCGTGTAACGACGCGAATATCTCGACGTGCATAAGTATTTATCTTGGAAATAGGAAACGAGAGGAAGAAGGAAGACCACACACTCAGACATACACACACATACATACACACACACACACTACTGTGCAACTCTATTGAGATTTTCAAGCGTGAACGTTGGATTTACATAGCGATTCACTATGTTCGTAGTTAGGTGGCTCCATTCGATCGTTTTTGCATATTCCAAGTTGTGTGCGATCATTATCCGTCTCAGTTCATCGTCATCTTTGGACTTACCTTGCCTCTTATAAAAAAAAGCAAGAGCAAGAAATAAAAAAAAATGTAGTCTCTAGAGAGGCCAGCAGGTCGCGAAAATTATCGATCCATTTCATAATCCGTATCGGGAAGTCGCGCGACGGATATAACGATCTCTTTATCGGGTTTGCTATAAAATCAATTGATGAGATTGCACACCTATATGCGCGTATTTGTTTAACGAAAGCGAAAGGAGAAGTACGTGTTTAGAACCATGAAATATTCTTCATTTTGTATTGTCGTTTGTTCTACTTTGACAAAGACAGTCGAACCTAAGAGATTCAACTGGTCTAGTACACTGTGATCTTCCTTTTCTGATCAAATTTTTGTATATACGTCAAACCAACTCGAATACCACCGACAGTTTTTATGAATCGATCGAATGATCGACAAGGCGTGCCGGATAATCGACTTGCATGCGTCATAGAGGCGGTACAAGATTTATAATAGCATTTTGAAATAGTAAAGAGCAATGCCTCTGCAATTTACTTTGCCAACAATGACCGAGTTTTACTTCTATCAACGGTAAATAAGCAAATTCTCAACGAATACGTTATTTATTCGTATTTTTATTTCTTTCTAATAGCTCACGGTATTCTACTTTAGTTCGAAAGCGAAATTGCGAGTGATCTCGATCTCCATAATCAATCAAAGAAAATGAAGCAAAATAAGACGAAACGTTGGACGTTTCAATTTCGTCCGATGTATGTGCACATACTGACACGCGATCTAGCCTAGCTAGTTATAGATAGAAAAGGCGAATCTTCAATTTTCCACCTAAGGATACTATCCGTTACATTCAGGATTGTAGTACTTTGTTTAGATTATTTTTCATCCGTCCTGATTTACCCGTTAGATCGGTTGTAATCGATTATCGATGCATAGGAAAGTGGCAATTAATGATAGAGTATACTAAATTGTTTATTTATTCATTTAAAGAGAGAATGATTAATTTTTTCTTCTGTTCAACGAGATTCCCAGAGAAATAGATGGAAGAATATCTAATTGCTCAGCGATGAAAAAAAAGTAACAATCTCATCTAGAGTTTGGAATCATCGATTTATGTTTCATATAGGAACGCGATGGTCGTTTTAATTACCTGCCGACAGATTGATAGATCAACTCGTGTTTTTTTTTTTTCTTTTTTATCTTCATCTGTTAACATGTTTAATACTTTATTTGTTTTTGTTTTTTTTTTTTTTCATCTAGCTGTTAAACAACTTTGTAATTTTTGCATCGATCACCTTCGCTAACGTTTCAATGCCTTTTTTATTTTCTATTAATGTACGTACAAAGTTCAGAAGTCCTATTCGCGTTCGATTCGTTAAAAAATATTATCCGTTTGTTTAATGTAATATCCCACGATCGAGTAGTTATTATTTTTGTTTGGATTTGGCTCGTCAAGTTACTATTATTTAAATTTATAAATTTCTTTTAGTTGAGTATCATTTTTAACCTTTACTTACCATCCTTCCTGGTGTAACACACTTACCACACCCGGGTCCAAAGGACCCAGGCGAGAACAATCGTTATAAAAAAAAAACTATTGCATAAATTAACTTCAACATTTTATTGAGACTTCTTTAATACTTACTTAAAAAGACTATATAAGTTTTATAGCTTTAAATTAAATTTAAATATGTTGAAAAAATGACCAAAGTTGAATACAATTGAGAAAAATGACTGAAGTTGCACAAAAGGTCTGAGTCCTTTGGACCACAAGTGTGGTAAGCAAAGTTTAAATCCAATAGTTTTACAAATTTTCATAAATTTCTTGTTTAAATTACTTCTGTGTTTAATCAATCTTTCATAAAGGAAGTGTAAGTTTTGTGTAGAAAAATGTCTAAATAAAATAAATGACGTGATATTAGAATATTTCTAATACGATGCATACCTACGTACAACATTAGGCTCGAAAGATCGAGTTAAATTATTTAATATGCTTAGCTATCATGTCGACAAAATCATTAATCTTGAATAACTTGGTATAGATATCTAGATGCGATAGAGAGTAAGAGAGAGAGAGAGAGAGAGAGAGGAGCAACGGTAGCAGTGCTCGTAGGCTGCTCGTAGGTTGTTCGTAAGCCGTTCGTTATCGTTAACGGCTCGTCGTCATTGATACATACAGGAAGAAAGTCGTCCGCTATTACACCTCGATAAATAAAGAAAAATAATAAGTTAAGGAAAATATAGAGATGGTCAGAATCGTTGAATGGGAAGAACATGCTCTCATCTTGATCGCGTCTAATGATCCTCCTTAATTCGTTCGCGTTTAAAAATGATTTAACGGTCTCACTTGATCGCGGATTTCCTTAGTTGAAATAAAAGAAAAGTAGCTAGGTATGTAGGTAGGTAGGTAGATAGGTAGGTAGGTAGGTTATTTGATAGATAGGTAACTTGGTAAGTAGGTGGATAGGTAGAAAGAAGAAAAATCGTGTTGGGTTTCGCAAAAGGTTTAGGTTGCATGTAAAAGGATAGATCGACACAATCAAAATAGATCGATTATCTATCTAGAAGGTTTTCTTCTGGACGCGCGCGCAATTCGTTCTGTTTTGAAAAGGAGACCCTTTGATCCGTCGTGCTCAGAATCGCGATCGTAATTCATCCAAAGAAAGAGTGAGTACGAGAGAGTGGGCAACGAAACGCTTCTGGCATTGCTCGTAAACTCCTTCGAGCCGGAGATGGATAGAGGAAAAGAGAGAAAGAGAAAGAGTGAGAGTGAGAGTGAGAGTGAGAGAGAGAGAGAGAGAGAGAGAGAGAGAGAGAGAGAACAGAACGATCCAGAGACGGGCTCGTCATCCGTTTCGTCAGTCGTTTAACACTGCCGTTGACTGTGTCGAATAAAAATACGCTGCTTGACGGACCACACACGCGGTGCGTTTCCTTACGTACCAATTAGGATAGCTCTAGAACGTCGAGGATCGCGGCGGTCGAGCTTGTGATTTAGTTGCGTTTTTGCGCTCCTATGTTTCTCTCACTATCCTCCCTCACGTGGTCCGCGATCATCTCGTCGTCGTTGTCGTCTTCTTCTTCTTCTTCTTCTTCGTCGTCGTCGTCGTAGTCGTATCCTCTTCCTCGCTTTTGCCTCGAAAACAGTCGTTTTATCGCTTCAACGATGCCAACGGTAACTTTACCAAGTATTTTTAGTGATCGTTTTTCAGTCGACGCGTTTCGTCTGCTACTGGGCAATCATCGGACGTCTCTGTCCGAGTACTGTATCTTGTTTTATTTGATTTTTTTTTTATTTTTTTTTTTTATAGTTTTTCTTTCGTCATCGGATCAGGAAATTTCTTCAACTAGAGTCTGTTTAATTGTTTTATGTAACGGTAAGATGGCCGACAGCATCACGATATAGTTACCTACTTATTATCTGGCATACCATCATCGCTCTCTCGTCGGCCCTCATTCATCGAGAATAAAAAAAAAAAAAAAAAGAAGAAGAAGAAGAAGAAGATTGAATCTCGTCGACATCTCTCAAGAAGTTATTTTGTAAAAGAACTCAACTATTATTAGGAGATATTAATAAAATATAATATAAGTTTTCCTAGATATTTATCTTTTAATTATTGGACTGGTGCAGATATGAGAATATGCTTGTTATTTATTAGATAATTGGAAATATAATATTTCTTTATTTGATGTTAAAAATGTTTCAACTGCATTTTAAAAGTAAACGTATTCGTGACGTGTACTTTGCGAAAAAAAACCAAGCTAATGCGTCCTCCTCGTAAAATAATCAAAATGTGATATTTCCGTCGCGTATCTTCGCCGAGGTCGAAAAAAAAGGGGTGCGTGACTCGAGTGAAATACGCGGGAATAAATTGAAGGACCGAATAAGAAGGGAAGGGAAAAAAAGTATAAAAGAATATGATGACGTTAAATCGTCTGTAATAAATTTAGCTTTATTGATGATTTAATTCATCCATTGAATGGCGAAAATTAGATGGACAGGCGTCATAGATAGGCACCTTAAATGTCTAGGTCTTAGGTTTTTACTTTTTAAAATGAGAAGAAATGGATGAAAGTGATAGTCGCTTTTAAATGGTGTCTCCTTTGGTCGAAGAAAAGCATAGTAAATTTTCTAACCGGTAGTTAGGAAGTACCGAGTTGTCGGCCATGTCAGGTGCCGACTATCAATTTCGCACATTGATGTCTCTCCTGAGAAATTAATTGGCCATTCGTTGCAGTCGACCAGTGGAATCCAAACGAAATAGCGATCACCTACAATTCGAAAGGAGGTTCTTCCTCAGAAGTCAAAGATCCTCCAAGTCTCGCGTCGGATTAGGAATGGCCGCGAATCGTTCAAGATGGCGTCTTTTACCTACAGTACAATCACGAGTATAGATGTAGTTCGTGATAATAAGGAAACTCGATAATTCCAATTGGACTCGCACGATTACGTAAGTCGTTTTAGGATTCTCGTGAACGGAACAATTTCTACCCTTTTTTTTTCTTCTTCCTACTTTTTTTTTTTATGAATCAACGAAATTACAATGTACTTATCATGAATCTTACAAACGTGTAACTCGTCGAGAAGGCCAATGATCTTTTTACGTGTAGGTATCTATGCAGGTAAAAATTGCAAATAAAATATTCTACGATATGATTTTTGTCGCGATTTGTAAACTAAATGTCGGATAGAAGATGAGAAATAGAAGATGTGGACGTTGTTTGTGCAAGAATTTCTGTTGGCGAATAATTATAGTATAAATTACCGCTTAGACCGATAAACAGTGATTTCAATTGCCAGGAGGTTGCCTTTTAATCTAGAAAAGTATTTCGTAGTAGCGTTTGGAGAATGCGATTCTTGCTAACGCACTCCTGAAATTATCCGCACGCGATTATATTTTATTTTATTTTTGTTTTTTTTTTCTCTATATAGCTCGTTCTCCAGGAGGACGTAACTCAATAATTAATTGCTCGAGAGTTGGTGAAGGGACGGCTTATCGACGATTAATTCGCAAAACTCTTTTCGCAACGATTGGTTTGAACGATCGATCAATGTAGCGTGAGTCACGATAGATTCTCTACGAATCTGTCCTTTGGATTATTCGTTGAAGAAATAGACGATTAGAAAATTACATCGGTCAGTTAGGTCTCTAGTAGAGCCCAAAGTCGAGTAGGAAAATGTCGCCCTGAGCGATTGCAATTCATATCGAATGACTCTATCGAGAGCGACGGCCAGTCTCGAAAGACGATAAACTTGGTAGTTAATCGCGATCGTTGGAAACGCGCTAAGCCAGTGTAAGCGATACTTGATTTATTACTTGTCACGGTGCGCCGACCAAACCTTACCGCAATATACGTTTTGATTTTTTACAGGGCTACTCGAGCTTACCGAACGCCATAGTTACGGAGTCTATGCGAAAAATGGCGCGCAATAACTTGTATAAATAAACAAAGAGAGAAAGGGAGAGAGAGAGAGAGAGAGAGAGTGGATCGTTGTAAGTGTGACGTAAATGAATCGTCGCGCACAGACGATGAATAGATACGAAATGAAATTAGGAATAAATGAGTTATCTGGATGCTAGATTTAAGTACTTATATAATTAATTAGTTATAAAAGAAAATTTGGAGAGAGAGAAAAAAAAAGAAGTAGAAAGAATAACTTGATGATTTTATCTTGGTAACGGAAAATTGAAATATTAATTGTAGAGGCAAAGTAGTTCATTCACTCGTTCGACTTTTAAAGAAGATCGTTATTTTTGGCTTTCGTTTTGAGAGAGAGCGCCCAACGAACGGGGTAAAAACGAGCGCGAACGATGCCACAGTGACAAATGTTTGCTCCAAGGGAAATCCTTTTCTATATCTCTTTAAACGACACTTGCTACTTTCGATCAATCTTTAACCGTCGACTAGCGCCGGAAGCTATCGTCTTTCTTTGCCGATTCTTCAAGTATTTTTGACTAAACTATTTAAAGGTCCAGACGCTCTCAAATTCGAAATAGGTATCTACCTATATTCTAAAGCTTATAAGAATAGAATCACAGAGGGGTTTAATGGTTTTATTTAATGTATTGCGATATGCAATATGCGACATATGAAAATGTACCTAGGATAAATTTTGATTGCAGAAAGGGAACCGAGCGGTTCTGGTATCGTCCGCGGACCACCGTCGGTTCAAGAATCGATCAACGCCGAAGACGAGCCGGAAACGGATGACGCCGGAAGTACCAGCGGCAAGGGAGCCTCGCCCGTTAATCCGTTGCTTCAGGAACGATGGAATTGCGAGGAGCTGAAGCACGTTGTTTGTCATCTGGAAACCAAAGATCTTTGGGATAAATTCAACGAATTAGGCACTGAGATGATCATCACCAAAACCGGAAGGCAAGGAAATCTTTTTCATCATCACAAGTACCTTATATTTAAATGTTAATTTCTTAAGAAGATCGAGTCACTTAGGTATTTGTGGTTGCTTACGCTTGAAACAACGATACCCTCGAAAAGTTCAATTTCTATCATCGTTCCGGCGATTTTGATCGTCGTTTGCAACGACGAAAGCCCGGACGACACTTGGCAAGGCAAGACGTCATCGTAAATTATTTGTCACGAGTCAAGCGACCGCTTACGCTTTTACGATCTAACTCTAGCTAAAGACTCTTGTTCGTTTGCTCGTTCTCTTGCTCGCTTATATCGAGTTAGGTCAGGAACAGTTGGAACAAAGCCGCACGACGGCTAGCCAGGAGACGCACCGTCCCAAGGGACGACGCTTTTGCTAATGGATCAACGTTTCCATTTGTCGATGATGATGTCGGACCATTAACTCTTTCTCGTTACGCGTGCCCCCTCTTGGCTTTCGAATTTCTGACCCTTCTTTCCTATCGTCTCGGACACGTTAGAGGGTTGTTCGAATGCTTTCGAACGAATTCAATCAGGATGTAATATGGGTCACGATACGACACCCACGAGAACGAACGTGAACGAATGTGAACGAACGCGAACCATCTGGCTACTAACTAAATATTTAGTCAACCCCTGAGAAAAGCTTTACTTATTTCGAGCCTATCAAAGATTGTTTGAAAATCCTTATCGAGCATTGCGTTAGGATGTCAAAGAAAAAGAAAAAGAAACAGAGAAGGAAAGAGAGAGAGAGAGAGAGAGAATCTTGTAAAATACAAAAGTCGTAAGGATGTACGGAAAGGAGAGGAGAAGTAAAGGAAAAGGAAAGCTGGGGAAGTTGGACGACGGCAGAGGATCGGCGCGCGCCTAATTGCCCGCTACGATGGCAATACGGTCCCTAAAGCCCTTCCTTCTTCCTCCTTCCCCAGCCCCTTCTTTTCTTTCGTAAGGGATTCCTCCAGCCGGTTGCGCGCTTACTCGTGCGTCAGTAATTAGATCTGCGTCTCGGTGCTGGTCGTCGCTCCCTTCAACCGTCAACTTACTTCTCCTTACTCTCGTTCCTCTGAAAGAACGGCAGCAGCAACACCATCCACCACTACCGTCAACTACTACCACCAACCACCATCGCTACTAACAGAAGCATCAGCACAGCCACCCCTTTCTGCTACTCGAAAGTACCACCGGGTTTGTCCCTCTCCTTTTTCCCTTTACCTTTGATGATATTTTAAGGGCAGAGCTTCCTCACCCTTCGCTACTTCTTATAACTCCACCTCTTCTTGGCAAAGAACGCGTCTGCGCCGTGTCGACATTTTTTACCACCCCCGAGCTTCTCTCCTCCAGTTTGATAAAGTCCTTCCTTTGCACGCCGCGACCCTCAACGGGTTCACGTTTCTTTTATCGACCTTGAGAAATTTACTTGAGAAAAATAAACAATTATTTTTAATAAACGTCACGAAATGATCGTCGTATTATGAACTCATCGATGTCGATAAAAGACGGCAAGAAATAGCTGGTCGAATTCTCGCTTTCATCCATCATCCACTTCCAGTTGACTTTTGAGATGCGACTTCCCAGAGAGTAGCCATTGAAACTGGTCTGCCGTACACTTCGCGTTGGAAATAAGAGGGTGAGTTTCCGATCGTGAGCTCGATAGACTCCCGTTAGTCTGTCACTTTGGATCATCGACTTCCTAGGGATAATCCTCGTAGCATCTCTCGTGTACGCCTTTGGGTCACGAGAAAAATTGCCGAGAGTGGTAAAAAGGATGAAAGAAAGGGGGAAAGAGTGGAAGCATGAAAGAAAGAGAGAGAGAGAGAGAGAACATCTACCTTCGTGGTCCAAAGTTCAATTCATTAACAAAGGACGGCTTGATAAATAAAAGCATTACTCACGCTCGTGGCGCTGCACCGGGATGAATGCATACCCGAGTCGACAAGGACCGAGGAGAGGACGTAGATAAGATCGGCGGGTGTCCCCGCGTTTTAGTGGTCGAACCAGCAGGGTTCCCGACACGGTATTAATGTTTGCCCTCTGAGGCAAAACATTCGCGCCATGGGACCCATAGCCTCGATGAGGCCCAACGAGGAGGTACCCCTCGCGTCGGTCCACAGGAGTGACCGTGAGCAGTGTTAAGGGCGTGTTTCATGTGTGAACGTGGGATACTCTGCGCTCGCGCACACCGAGAGAGAAAGAGAGAGAGAGAGAGAGATAGAGAGAGAGATGAAAGGAGAAAGAAAGAGGTCCGAATAAAAAGCGCGCTAAGAAAACACAAAAAATAGATCGTTACATCGTCGATTCATCGTTTCAAAACGAGTTCCTTCTCGGTGGCTACGGTCGCAACCATTTTATTTCACTTTGCTTCTGCTAGTATTTCTTTTTATTTTTCTTTTGTCTCTTCTCAACGATCGTGATCTCTTTCGCGGTCCAATGCCGCGCTTTGCTCGTGATGAGATTATCTAGGATAGTTTTTCGGATCTCTGGATGCTCTTTCTCTCTCTCTCTCTTTATGTCCCTCCCTTCGTCCCTTTTTCTCTTTTTCTTTGCTCCCTTTCTTTCCTTGTACTTTCAACGTGCAGCGAGTATATGTTATCGCGCGGATGTTTATCGCAGTTTAAAATTGGCTCCAACGCTGACCTCGATCAGGTGTATTATGAATAAATGATCGAGCGCTGCGGGATAGCTCGGGATGGAGGAGGGGCTAGAAAAAACAAAGAGACCGGTAGCGAGCGCTGCTCGAACGGCTCTAGTGCAAAAATACTACTATAATGAAAATGCTCCATTTTTTCTCTTTCTCGATGCGCGAAGCACCTATTTTCTTATACTTCTATTGACTTAAACAGTTATATAAGGTATTGTTAATAAAATCGTAGGCGGATGTTCCCGACCTGCCGTGTCTCCTTCAATGGGCTGAAGGCGGACAGCCGGTACGCGGTGCTAATGGATATCGTGCCGGTGGATAACAAGAGGTACCGGTACGCTTATCACAGAAGCTCATGGTTGGTAGCAGGAAAGGCCGATCCACCGGCGCCTGCACGGCTTTACGTCCACCCTGATTCACCGTTTACCGGCGAACAACTTCGCAAGCAAGTCGTCTCTTTCGAGAAAGTCAAGCTCACGAACAACGACATGGACAGGCAAGGCCACGTAAGTCTTTTTCTAATCACTAAAGAGATCGAAAAAGCTAAGAAAAAGCCTCGAACCGGATAAATTGTGCGACGACCTAACGAAGAAAGAAACCGTGACCCAGTGGCAACGACTATAAGATTATAGGCCCACGTGTCGGCTCGGTGCTAAAGTATTCCACCGCGTGCGCGTCTACTCCGTGGAAGTTAAAATGCCACTCGAATATGCCGGGATCTGCCTACCTGTTGCATACTTTATGGACCGTATACGCTTTCGTTAAGTTTCGCGCGTTCGCGCTAACGCGACCTTCTTTCCTCGGCAAAGTAACACGGTCTATTTCCTTTTTCTCAGATAACTTGGAATCGAGCGACTAAACGACCCGATCTCGCGACTATTTAAGGGATAATTTGACAATCCGTTGTCTCGTTTGTCATGATTCGCAAGAATCTCCTTTTTCGAGCACCCTCATCGTCCACCCTCTCTTCTCCATCGAGTTTCCTCTTCTTTTTCTTCTCGTCTCATTGTCAGCCAGGTTTTTACTGTCTGTCTATCTGTCTCTTTCTCTCTCTCTCTCTTTCTTTCTTGGTCTCTGTCTCTTTCTCCTTCTGGGTCCCTTAATTCATCGGATGACTGACGTAAATAGGAACTCCGATCGGACCGAGCGTTTCTTCACGGTTCTCTCATTTTGTATTCAGGGTGTTACACGTCGGCGGACGAGGGCAAAGTGATTCTTTTGAATGGTACAAGAATGCCTAAGCGAAGTGCTCCTAATTCATACGCTTTTTCTTCCATCGAGAATCTCATTTATTATGAACGCTATCACTTCGCCGTCGCCCTCGACGACGATTCGAAATAGACGCGTCACAACTTATCGATCCTATCCAAATTGTCATATTTCCGAGAAGACAAAGAGAGAGAAAAAAAAAGAAAGCTAGTACGATCGATCGTCTTTCGATAGACTCATGCTCAAACTTACAAAAGTTCTGTTCTATCTATATATAGGTAAGAAGACGTCTCGGATCGGTTAAAATATGATTCTTTCTTTATTTCTCGTAAGAGAAAAGACGCAGAGTACGAGTAGGAACCGTTTGTTTCCGCGAAACATCGTTTACAGTGGCTAATTCAGCGCGGGCTGGCCGAGCCGTTAAGAGCCGCTGGTGTTAGCTGGTTCGTTCTCTTTCGTTTTACAAAATCGATAGGATATCCCAAGAGTAAAGAGGTAACGACCTCTCGGCCATTGGTTTTCTTCTCTCCTCTAAGAACCACCTCGTGCTTATTTGCGAAACGTCGCGTACATAGACGTAAATCTTGATATAAATTGCCGACGATTTGCAGCTGGTGCTGAACTCGATGCACAAGTACCAGCCGAGGATCCACCTGGTGAAGAGGCCGGATTCGGGTACGGCCAAATCCATCGTTGATCTCGAGAAGGAGTCGTACAAGACCTTCATATTCCCGGAGGCCATATTCACTGCTGTCACCGCCTATCAGAATCAGCTCGTAAGTTTTGCTTTGTTTCTTGCTACTCGCTCTGCTTCTTCTTTTTTTACATCTACTTTTTCTTCTTTTTTTTTTTTTCCTCTAAACAGACCCGTTGCTGTTTATCCTCTCCATTGGGACTCCTTCGTCCTATTCGTTTAAAAAACGATTATGACTAGTCTCTCTTTTTCTCTCTTTCTATTTTTACTATATGCGATTCTTAGGTTAGAGAGAAATTAAGAGACTCCGATAAACTTGACCTCTTTTCGTCGCTTTGCAAATAGCTTCTATCTCTATCTGTATTATTTTCTCTAGGGGCGTTAGGAATGAACGATAAATAAGATGAGAGCGAGGAGAATGAAAATAGATTTGTAAGGATTTAACGTCGGCAAATCGGCGAAAGAACGAGGCAAAAATCGGTACTGTAGGCAAACCCGTAACGATCTTTCTTCGTCTCTCTCTCTCTCTCTCTCTCTCTTTCTCTCTCCTTCTCGTACACGTTCCTATGTGCCTGGAGTTACGTACGTAGCAATTCAGGATTCAGAGAGCGCAAGTATACGGCGGCAAGCAGTTATCGTATTTCACGATTGTCGTTTAGAACCCGACGTGCGTCACGTGTGTGGTCCGAAGTGCCCTCGCTTTACGGAGACGTTCGCATTCCGCGAGCGTCGCGGCGCTGCTCTCTGTGTGAGGCCCAATTTGGTATCCGATTCCTCTTTCTTTATTTCCCATTTGGAATCCAAAGCAACTCGTCTTTTCTTTTAACGAATTTCCCAAAGATCGAGACAGTGTTTCTATCATCGCGTCGATTCCTCTTGGAGTCACACAACCACTTTTTCTTTTTCATTCCTCGAGCAAGTTTGCTTTGACGTATGCGCGAGAATATATTTAGATATACAAGATCGAGATTAATAGGAATAAGGTGTGCGTGCATGAAAAGTAAGAATCCGATTCCTTCGAGAAGGAAGGAACGGCGGCAGCACGCGTTTATGTACTTTTAAAGACAGTTTAATAGCTCGACGATTTAAAAGTCCATTAAAGAAGACTGAAAATCGTCTGGGTCATGTGTAATAATCTAAACGTGCGAGTTCGATGATAGATAGATCCATCCTTTTCTCTAATGTAAGAGAAATTAACGCGTTCTCTCCCTACTTATCGCGCATACATAAGGATCGTCTCAACGGACAGTCGAGCGTGCGTCGTTAGCTTCTGCTTTTTATTCTTTATTTTCCCCTCGCACCGAGAAAGAAAGAGAATCAGAATTCGGTTAGACCCATCTCGTATTTGGCGATCGTGGTAGGATGAAAACTAACGGGTGGTCCAAAAGATCTCTTGGTTGCCCGACGTCGACGATGACGACTACGACGACGACGACGACGACGAGAAGGAGGAGGTGGAGGACGACGACGACCACGACGACGACGACGACGACGACGTAGTTGTTGATGATGATGATGAGGTGCGAAGAGATGCCTTGGCAATTACCTCAGGCCGACTTCTCTCTTCCTCTCTACCATTCATCCTCTTTCTTTCTTTGTAAGCCTCCACTTTCTGCGTTCTCTCGTCATTATCGTTCTTGCGGCTTCCCTTCTCCGTTTCTTCTTCTTCTTCTTCCTTTCTTTTAACATCGATTGAGGCTCGCCGTTGTCCAGACTTTTCAACAAATGCGCGAGCTCGCATGAAAATAGAAAGGTTAAGGACGAAGGTGAAACGCGAAGAAGGAGACGAGTGCAACTACGGTGGTCGCAAAAAAGAGAAAACGAGAGGAGAGATGGAATGTGTGTTGGAAGCGTTGAAATTTCTTTCCTGCCCATTTAACCGAGAGAGATACTTTCTTCGTTTCCACGAGATAATTTGACGGTGTTTGACTCGTGTCATTCATCTTGGCTCATATTCACAATCTTTTTAAAAGATGATAGAAAAATCTCTTTGTTTCGTGTATACTTTGAAATTTGTCCAAATCGAAGATAACGATACGACTTACAATTTCATCTCCATATGGAGTAAAGCTGAGAGGATCTAAGCATCGCGATTAGGTCTCCGTCGTTCCATCCGCTTCTGGAAGGTTGTCGAAAAATCCATTCGTCGCGGTTCATATCCTCGTCGGTCTCCCAACGTTTCTTCGTCTCTCCTCCTCATTGAGGGCTCTTTTTCCTAATCGTCATCGTCGTTGTGGGTTCGTAAGCTCGTTTAGTCGCAACAGCTACTCTTTTTTCCTCTTTCCGTCTCTCATTTCGTCGTGCGAGTCACACATCGTCGCATGCACGTTTTTTACATTTTCTTTCCTTCCTCTTATAGCCTATTTTTCTCTCTCTCTCTCTCTCTTTCGGGCGCATAACGACCTCCACGACCGTACCGATCCGTCTTTCTCGCTCGCACCACATCATAATTCATAAGCTAACTGCTTTGCTTCTCTCTTTATTCTCCGTCTCCTTCACGCTTCTGATCTTCTCCAAGCTTTCTTCCACCTTCTTATCGCCCTTGCCCACTGTCGTTGCAATGTCGACTCTCTCTCTCTCTCTCTCTTCCTCTCTGTCTCCTCGTCAACCTCGTTCATCGTCAACGATCGCGATTATACATGTGCTATCTTGCTTGTAGAATTTCTTTCAAAAGCATTAGTTGGCGAAAACATTGTTACTGTTTGATGTTTACGTTTGCATTCGACCAAGTGTAAACGTGTTGGAAGAATGCCAAAGCGAAAAGGATAGATAACGAAAGAGAGGGAGAAGAAGAAGAAGAGTGAACGGAGTGAGAGAAAGAGAAAGAGAAAGAGAGAGACCAGAGGGATGCGTAAATTCGAGCTGATGATTCCTATGGAGCGAGCCAGAAAGCAAGGAGACGGCGGGACGACAGTCGATAAACGCCGAAGGCACGCCTTTTTTCGAGACCACTTGGAACTTCAAAGAAGAACGGGCTTCGTAACTTTCGGCTAATCGTTTGGCCCGTCTTCTTCGCGTGAGAGATAGCTTCTCTTTTTCTTTGGCACATACGAGTGTGAGCCTTGCTATCCTACGAACATCTCAACCCGGAAGATCCTCCAAAAGATCTGACGTGTTCGATGGCACGCGTTCAAAGTTTTTTTAAAAATCAACAGAAAAAAAGTCATGAAGAAAAAAGTCTAAGAATAAAAATATCCTTGCTAGATAATTTTTTTTTCAAGACGCGGATATTCGCTCGAAGCGAGGTATGGTAATCGTTCTATCATCGAATCGCCGTACGAGCGCACATATCGAGTTGAGAAGAGTGGAAAAGCGAACGTGTAATTAGTATGTAGGTACCTACCTACGTCCGTGCGTCTTGACCCTTCTCGAAGAAAAGATCGGTTTCGATTAATCGCTCGATGGAAGAAACGATTGAGAGAGGAGAATCTATCAAGTCAATTCGAAGAAAGAGGGAATGCAAATTCGCCAAAGAATTCATTTCCTTGATGGGTTCAAGAACCGTAAGTATCCCTTCTAAATTCGAAACCAATCGTCATATACGTTGGACAGTAATTTAGACACTTGCCACTGAGAAACGAAGAAGAAATAAGAGAGGAGAGAAAAATCATAGGGCGGTTAGCGCATCGAATTTGCG